GACCAATCTGTGCGACTCAAAATACCTGGACTTATTCAATGGTGGCTGTTTCAATCGCTACAACTCAGGATGCTGCAACTTGGTGGCTGTTCCAATCATACATTTTTAGACACTACTCCAGGAGAGATCTCCATATCTGCAGTGGATACCTACAAATCCAGGGAACATTACCAGGCACCTTAAAAAGGGGAACCCTGAAGGACGAGAATCACCTGTAAATATTCATTAAAAGGATCCTGTCTGATGACCCACCACCCTTTAGAGGGAAGACATCAGTTTCTGACCCCTCTCCATGCTGATATCTGGAATAATTATATAAGGCGCATTTAATATACGCGTCCGGTGAGTGCGCATTACTTTCACCATTATTGCACCTATACCGGATCCAGAGTTACCAGAGCACAAGAGTCACTTTTACTTATTTTATCTTATTATTATTGGGACTATTTATATCATTAATTATAATTATCATATATTGATTTTATTGATTCCCTGTTATTGTCATTTTTAGCGCTGCACCTTTCTATATATTATTTATGATTCAAGGTGATATTGGTTACCTGTTTGTACATAGCAGCTTTTATATACATTTCTAGTCTTAAGGCGCTCGCATTTCTTGTTTACATATGGCTGTTCCAATCAGTTCAACTCAGGACGTTGCAACTTTGAAAAAAGTTCCTGCATTTTTGCATTTGAGATCCTGGGCCCTGATGAAGCAGGTGATCCTGCAAAACATGTCAACCTCTACACTTTGACCTTAAGGCCAAAGTTATACATACTGACATCAGTTGGCTGTACAATGTACCTTTATGTACTATCAATTATTATAGTGTGACTCAAGACTCTGCGACTTTGAAAAATGTTCCTGCATTTTTGTATTTGAGATCCTGGGTCCTGATAAAAGGACCAATCTGTGTGACTGAAAACTCAGCAACTTGTTCAATGGTGGCCGTTCCAATTAGTGCAACTTAAAGCGGAGATCCACACAAAAGGGGAAGTTCCGCTTTAAGCCTTTGTCCCCTGCTCCCCATTAAGGATTGGCCCCTTTGGGGAGCGGGGGGAGGAGAAGCGAGTACCCGAATTTGACATGTGACAGATTCCAGAAGACTACGGGGCCAGTCAGAAAGTGCAGACCTTCTCGCGCATGCACAGTGGGCACCCGGCTGTTAAGCTGCAAGCTGTCACAGCCGGGTGCCCCACACTGAAGATGCCGGCGCCAGGGAGAGAAGACGGCCGGTGAAACCAGCGGTGGGGAGGATACTGGGGACAGGTAAGTGGCTGCGTTTTAAAAGTCAGCAGCTACAGTTTTTGTATCTGCTGACTTTTGTTTGTTTTTTTAGGTGGAATTCTGCTTCAAGACGCTGCGACTTTGAAAATGGTTCCTGCATTTGAGATCCTTGGTCCTGATGAAGGGGTTGACCCTGCGAAACACGTCGACCTCTACACTTTGATGTCAAGGCCAACAAATACATATGACATCAGCTGGCTGTAAAGTGTACCTTCGGGTATTATCAATTATTATATGTGGATGTTTTAAATGATTTTACCTTTTATGTTTCTGATGTGCTGTAATAAAACTGAACTTTGTATTTTATATTTGCTTTTTGGTGTGGTTTATACCACTGGAGACATCATTAAAGTCCCATTTAGCTGTAATTTTCTCTGGTACAATCAGTGAGCCAATCACACAAGCAGGAAATGATATTTCTGGGGGGACACTCAGTACACCATCTATGTACAGAACATCTCCAGGTCGCCATATTGCATGTTACAGAAAATTGCAGCGCTGCAGATTGCAATGGAAAGATAATTTTTAATAACATTCAATTACAATATGAATTGTGTAGCAATTGTATACACTGTATTTTTTTTTTTTTTTTAATTTGCGCAATTATTTTTCCACGAAAGTGGAGTTACCCTTTCAAGTTCCAAATAATGGACTAAATTGGGTTTATTTATCGTATTTAATGTGGAATTTAACAAAAAAATAAAACAAAAAGATGTTCTTACAAAGTGATACAAGCGATGACACCTGCCCATCTCAGGGTAATTCTATACTCTCCGCAGACGTGCCAGAGGATGTAGGGGATGGCAGGATGTTGTGCTATTAGGATAATCCCTGGAAATACCAAGAGACCGTTACTAGAAGTGCTCCGGGGACACGGCGGGCGAGCGTTCTGTCTCAAAGACAAGAGGCTCTTATCATTACTGGAAGGAAAATGGATATCCTGTTCACAAAATTTAGAAAGATAATTATATGTAATTAAAATGACAAGCCTGGGCACGATATGTCATCTACAGGTTTAACTCCAAAGGAATTTTAAAAAATATTCTAAAAGAAGCCTGCAGTCATCTAATACTACAAGATATTAAAAGTCGAGGCTTATTTATATCATGACGCACAAAAATAATGATGTGCTCAAATGTAAAGGTGCTACACTTAGGGGTGCCATTGTAAAAGAAAAAAAAAAAATGTAAGCTACACGATATTGCCAAAGGTCTTGGGCCAGCCCTCCAAATCATTGGTTTCAGGTGTTCCAATCCCCTCCATTGGCACAGATGTATAAAATCAAGCCCCTAGGCATGCAGACTGCTTCTACAAACATTGGTGAAAGAATGGGTCGCTCTCAGGAGCTCAGTGACTCCAAGCGTGGTCCCGTGATAGGTTGTCACCTGTGCAATAAGTCCATCTGTGACATTTCTTGGCTACTAAATATTCCACGCTCAACTGTTAGTGGGATTATAACAAAGTGGAGGCAACTGGGAACAGCAGCAACTCAGCCACCAAGTGGGAGGCCACGTCACATGACAGAGCGGGGTCAGCACATGCTGAAGTGCACCAACTGTCTGCAGAATCAATAAAGATCTCCAAACTTGGTGTGGCCTTAAGATTAGCACAACAGTGTGTAGAGAGCTTCATGGAATGAGTTTCCATGGCCGAGCAGCTGCATCCAAGCCTTACATCACCAAGTACAATGCAAACCGTCGGATGCCATGGTGTAAAGCACGCCGCCACTGGACTCTAGAGCAGTGAAGACGTGTTCACTGGAGTGACCAATCACGCTTCTTTGTCTGGTAATCCAATGGACGTGTCTGGGTTTGGTGGTTGCCAGGAGAACGGTACTTGCCTGACTGCATTGTGTCAAGTGTAAAGTTTGGTGGAGGGGGGATTATGGTGGGGGCTTGTTTTTCAGAGCTTGGGTTGGTCCCCTAGTTCCAGTTTTTCATGCTCCCAACTTTGTGGGAAGAGTTTGAGGATAGCCAAAAAAAAAAGCAACATGAACACTATTGTTTGTACCCATAGTGCGGCACAGAACAACAACTAAAATACACATACAGGTGAAACTCGAAAAATTTGAATATCGTGCAAAAGTTCATTTATTTCAGTAATGCAACTTAAAAGGTGAAACTAATATATGAGAGAGACTCATTACATGCAAAGCAAGATAGTTCAAGCCGTGATTTGTCATCATTGTGATGATTATGGCTTACAGCTCATGAAAACCCCAAATCCACAATCTCAGAAAATTAGAATATTCCATGCAATCAATAAAACAAGGATTGTACATAGAACAATATCGGACCTCTGAAAAGTAGAAGCATGCATATGTACTCAGTACTTGGTTTGGGCCCCTTTTGCAGCAATTACTGCCTCAATGCAGCGTGGCATGGAAGCCATCAGCCTGTGGCACTGCTGAGGTGTTATGGAAGACCAGGATGCTTCAATAGCGGCCTTCAGCTCTTCTGCATTGTTCGGTCTCATGTCTCTCATCTTTCTCTTGGCAATGCCCCATAGATTCTCTATGGGGTTCAGGTCAGGCGAGTTTGCTGGCCAATCAAGCACAGTAATCCCACGGTCATTGAACCAGGTTTTGGTGCTTTTGGCAGTGTGGGCAGGTGCCAAGTCCTGCTGGAAAATGAAGTCAGCATCCCCATAAAGCTCGTCTGCGGAAGGAAGCATGAAGTGCTCTAAAATCTCCTGGTAGACGGCTGCGTTGACCCTGGACTTAATGAAGCACAGTGGACCAACACCAGCAGATGACATGGCTCCCCAAAAACACCAAATCAACACAGACTGTGGAAACTTCACACTGGACTTCAAGCATCTTGCAGTGTGTGCATTCTCTCCATATTCTTCTCTCCATTCTTCCTCCATACTCGGGGGTCCTTGGGCCTCTCCATTCTTCCTCCATACTCGGGGTCCTTGGGCCTCTCCATTCTTCCTCCATACTCGGGGTCCTTGGGCCTCTCCATTCTTCCTCCATACTCGGGGTCCTTGGGCCTCTCCATTCTTCCTCCATACTCGGGGTCCTTGGTTTCTAAATGAGATGCAAAAGTTGCTCTCATCAGAAAAGAGGACTTTGGACCACTGAGCACAGACCAGGTCTGTTTTTCTTTAGCCCAGGTAAGACGCTTCTGACGTTGTTTGTTGTTCAGGAGCGGCTTGACAAGAAGAATACGACATTTGAAGCCCATGTCCAGGATCCATCTGTGTGTGGTGGCTCTTGATGCACTGACTCCAGCCTCAGTCCACTCCTTGTGAAAGTCCCCAACACTTTTGAATGGCCTTTTCTTGACAATCCTCTCTAGGCTGCGGTCATCCCTGCTACTTGTGCACCTTTTTTTTTTTTCCACACTTTTCCCTTCCACATAACTTTCTATTAATGTGCTTTGATACAGCACTTTGGGAACATCCAACTTCTTTTGCAATTACCTTTTGAGACTTTCCCTCCTTATGGAGGGTGTCAATGATGGTTTTCTGCACAACTGTCAGGTCAGCAGTCTTTCCCATGATTGTGATTCCTACTGAACCAGACTGAGAGACCATTTAAAGCAGCGGTTCTCAACCTGGGGGTCGCGACCCCTTTGGGGGTCGAACGACCATTTCCCAGGGGTCGCCTAAGACCATCGAAAAACACATATTTCCGATGGTCTTAGGAACCGAGACACCGCTCCTCCATCTCAGGCGATGTGTGGGCGGGATGATACGCTGCTCCTGTCACCTGGCCACACCTCCGGGATCGCTCAGCAGCTCCGCCTCCTCGCCGCTGATTGGCCACCGGAACTGTAGCTCAGGAGAGGCACACAGGCGGCCAATCACCGGCGAGGAGGTGGAGCTTGGAGAGGAGGAGCCGAGCGCGGCAGCGCGCGTACATCAAAGAAGATCGAGGGAGCTGCCGGAGCGAGTGAAGAGGAGAGCGGCCAGAGAAGGAAGACAGCTGACAGGTAAGTGAGAGAGCGAGCCCAGGCTGGAGCAGGGGTCAGCAAAGTAAGTATCATTGGTATCAGTGGGAGGAATAGTGCCCCATCATTTGTGTCACTAATACCAACGATGGGGCACTATTCCTCCCCCCACTGACACCAACGATGGGGCACTATTCCCCCCCACTGACCCAACAATGGGGCACTATTCCTCCCCCCACTGACACCACGATGGGGCACTATTCCTCCCCCCACTGACACCAACGATGGGGCACTATTCCTCCCCCCACTGACACCAACGATGGGGCACTATTCCTCCCCCCACTGACACCAACGATGGGGCACTATTCCTCCCCCCACTGACACCAATGATGGGGCACTATCCCCCCCCCCCCTGACCCCAATGATGGGGCACTATTCTCCCCTCCACCACACTGACATCAATGATGGGGCACTATTCCTCCCACTGACACCAATGATGGGGCACTATTCCTCCCACTGACACCAATGATGTGGCACTATTCCCCCCCACTGACACAGTGATGGGGCACTACTACTCCCCCCACTGACACCAGTGATGGGGCACTACTCCCCCCACTGACACCAGTGATGGGGCACTACTCCCCCCACTGACACCAGTGATGGGGCACTATTCCCCCACTGACACCAGTGATGGGGCACTATTCCTCCCACTGACACCAATGATGGGGCACTATTCCTCCCACTGACACCAATGATGGGGCACTATTCCTCCCACTGACACCAATGATGGGGCACTACTCCCCCCCACTGACACCAATGATGGGGCACTACTCCCCCCCCACTGACACCAATGATGGGGCACTATTCCTCCCACTGACACCAATGATGTGGCACTATTCCTCCCACTGACACCAGTGATGGAGCACTATTCCTCCCACTGACACCAGTGATGGGGCACTACTCCCCCCACTGACACCAGTGATGGGGCACTACTCCCCCCACTGACACCAGTGATGGGGCACTACTCCCCCCCACTGACACCATGATGGGGCACTATTCCTCCCACTGACACCAATGATGGGGCACTACTCCCCCACTGACACCAATGATGGGGCACTATTCCTCCCACTGACACCAACGATGGGGCACTATTCCTCCCACTGACACCAACGATGGGGCACTATTCCTCCCACTGATACCAACGATGGGGCACTATTCCTCCCCCACTGACACCAACGATGGGACACTATTTCCCCCCCGACCCCAATGATGGGGCACTATTCCCCTCCACCCACTGACATCAACGATGGGGCACTATTCCTCCCACTGACACCAAGTGATGGGGCACTATTCCTCCCCCCACTGACACCAACGATGGGACACTATTCCCCCCCACTGACACCATGATGGGGCACTATTCTCCCCTCCACCCACTGACATCAGTGATGGGGCACTATTCCTCCCACTGACACCAGTGATGGGGCACTATTCCTCCCACTGACACCAGTGATGGGGCACTATTCCTCCACTGACACCAGTGATGGGGCACTATTCATCCCACTGACATCAGTGATGGGGCACTATTCCTCCCACTGACACCAGTGATGGGGCACTATTCATCCCACTGACATCAGTGATGGGGCACTATTCCTCCCACTGACACCCAGTGATGGGGCACTATGCTCCCACTGACACCAGTGATGGGGCACTATTCATCCCACTGACATCAGTGATGGGGCACTATTCCTCCCACTGACACCAGTGATGGGGCACTATTCATCCCACTGGCATCAGTGATGGGGCACTACTCCCCTTCCAACGATGGGGACTACCAATGACATCAGTGGCACTACTCCTCCCACTGCAAAATTACAGTTATGAAGTAGCAACGAAAATAATTTTATGGTTGGGGGTCACCACAACATGAGGAACTGTATTAAGGGGTCGCGGCATTAGAAAGGTTGAGAACCACTGATTTAAAGGCTCAGGGACCCTTTGCAGGTGTGGGACACTTTGAGCCGAGAATATTCCACCTTTTCACAATATTCTCATTTTCTGAGATTGTGGATTTGGGGTTTTCATGAGCTGTAAGCCATAATCATCACAATGATGACAAATCACGGCTTGCACTATCTTGCTTTGCATATAATGAGTCTATCTCATATATTAGTTTCACCTTTTAAGTTGCATTACTGAAATAAATGAACTTTTGCACAATATTCCAATTTTTTGAGTTTCACCTGTATGTGGTATTGCTGTGATCGTCAGGAGCAGGAGAATTTATTTTGAATTGTTCTTTGGTGGTAGTAGCAAAAA